CCCCAAAACCCCAAAACCCCAAAACCCCAAAACCCCTCCTTCACTGGAAAGGCTTGAAATATAAATTCCTTAATGAAACATAATTTACTTAGGCTGAGTTTTCTCAGCCAATTTAGCAATACGCTCACTAATAAAGCCAATACTTTTCTTAGTATCATTCATCCATTTCTTTTGGCGGTTAAAAAAGTAGCTGAGATCGTATCGGCCCATTATCTGGTTGCCTAGATTTTATGAGTAAAGGTTGAGGGAGAACTTACAATCAATGTTATCAAACTCTTCTCTCAATTTCTTCATTTTATCTATTGGCAAGAGTTCCTTAAAGTAGTCCAGCACCAGGTAATAGACCACGCTAGATACTATCTGGAAGTTCCTGATCTGCTTCTTCTTTAATTTAATCTATATGTAGTCATCAGCTAAGTACCATAACGATGCTGGATGGATCCAACAATATTTTCGCCAATAAGATCCTCACGAGGAGAAATCCCCCGATTATGAGTCATTCTTGTGCTGAAGAAGCAGATGAGAGGATTCCTCTCTCGTTCAGAGATAACCGCTTCCTTTCAAACATGCTAAAGAAGTCGTCTGGCAGGTATTTCCGAGGAGTTATGAGCAATTTCAGGAACTCTAGAAGTGGTAAAGGAACCTTCTTTTTAATAACTTCTTCTGTAATAGCTTTAAATATAGCCTCAATACGAACTTTTATCTTCAGAAAAGCTTTATCAGAATTAACAAAGATAGAAGTTAAGTCCAAGTTCAGCTTTGGCTGCACCATTAGGTTAACTATAGGGGTTTTAATAGTCGAAATCAGCCATGTGATAGCAACATCTGAGTATAGATCTAAGGATTCGTCAAATAAGATTCTATTTCTCTTTCTCCTTCTTTATCCACTTCTCTCTGACAAATCTCATGAGTTTGGTGAACTCATATATTCATCTTGCGTAGATCTTTAATTTCTTGTATCCTTTGAGTTCGAAATTTTTGTACTTTTCCTACAGGATCACAACAAGGGTTACCTTATTCTCCATGGAGCTCACTCTTTGAGCCATTTGCATCTTCATATTTAGCATATTCTTCCTCTTATTATTCTGATCTTTGAGCTCATTAAGCTCATCATCATCATCTGGCACCTCTAAGTTAGTGTTTTCATAAGGATTGATAGGAAGAATCCCCATTGCTTTTAGGTTGTTATCTTTTTCCTTCTGTGTTCTAATAATTATACGAATAGATTACTTTGACTTTAGACGGTCTAGTTCCTCCTGCTGAGCCCAGTAGTCATTGCGGTTACCTCTCAGCATCTTGCGCATTTTGTGGTTGAACTCCTTACGATCTTCATCCGAAGTATCTTCAGAGCTATTATGATAATACTTTGAATTACCTGTAGACTCTCTTTTTACTCTCTTCATGATGTCTTTGAGGCTCCCTGTGATGGTTGGAGGATTTCTTCCTTGGAGGAGTCTGCTCCTCTTCACTTTCCTCAGACTCTTCTTCATCCTCCTCAGTTTCTTCGCTAAGATCAGCATGAGCCTCAGCTTTATGCTGAGGCTTATAGCTGCCTTCATAAGACCTTATGGAAGGTACGGGAGGCCTATTCGGAAAATAAGAAGGATGAGACATTTGTGGCATCTGATGCATGTTAAGTTGACTCAACATCGGAAATTGTCCATTATAAGCACTAGCATGTGAGGGTGCTCCCAAAGTAGCTGATTTGAGCCTCTCCCAGTTCCTTTCACTTTCCTCCTTCTCATGTTTCTTGATCTGCTTCTGCAGCTTATTATTCTCTTTATAAAGCTTCCTCAGTTTCTGCTGGACTTTCTTGTCGTGCATGCTCATAGACTGAGGCACTAGTGAAGGCAAGCTATTCTGAGCCATCATCACACGATTAGTCCCTCTGCTTCCTTTCTCAGATAGGTTATTCGAAAAGAAGTATTGAGGCTTTTGCATCCTAGAATAAGGAAATTAGGTCATTTTGCAGTAGAGATCGACAAAAAAGAGGCATAAGTTTTGTGTACAGGGGTCATATAGATGAGCTTAAAATGGACTCATCTTAACTATATTCAATTCATGTGTAAGAAGTTAAATTATGCCAAATACTGCACCTAACATTTCTGGTAAAGGAAATTAGGAAAATCCCTAGCACATGGAAGTCATGATCCATCTGAGGTGAGCAGTTGAAACAATTCCTCACTCCAGCTCAAGAAGTTTGTTAATTGCTCATCCTAACTGTACCATGAGCTCCTTCTGCTAAATTCCTTCCTGAAGCTTCTAGGGTCACAATTTCAGATAAAGTATTTGGCTTAATTAAGTAATAATTATACATATACTGAATAAGATCATAACAGATCAACTTTGGCTCCCTGCATGATGCTTTGATTAAAGGATTGGATTAAAAAGCCAAAATTAAAAAATAGCATTTCAGTCAAAATGTTTTGGAAAAATGGAACATCTTAGTAAATTACAGGCTTATGCCCATGGATATTAGAAAATTTAGGCTTTAATCCAACCATGATATCTTCAATTACAGTCTGCCTTTTCTTTACTAAACCAATACTGAGTATTAGCCTGACAGTTTCTAAGTTGTCTTCAAAATTTCCAAATGTCTAATATTATAGCACAAATATTTCACCAATCAATAGAGGTGTTGCAAAATTATGGGTTTTATCCTCTGAAGATGGGAGTTCTTAAAGCGCTCTATTGAGACAGTAGTTGATCATTCTTAATAGAATAAAAATGTAGGTCATCATGATTTTAATGGAACAATTTAAGACACTTTAGTGCCTAGCTGAGACATGCAGCTAATGATGACAGATATTATGAGAGACAGCATATTAGCAGATTAAAGCAAACCCTAAATATCCTGGCTCGCTAAGACCAGGAGACAGACATTTTCCTTTTGTTTTAGTTTAGAGAAAGTTTATGGTTTTGAGAAGTTCAACTTCTTACCTAGTACTGCTTCTTTTATAGCTTGGAGGGATCATGTTGGCAGGATCATCTTCCAAAGGTGCTAAGAATCCTATTTGATAGTATTATCCACAAGATTTACCAGCATTGCTTGCTAAATTTGGCTTATCGTACTCATCAAAATCATTATTATTTTTGAGAACTACAAGATGATAAGATTACATAGATAGGGCTCACGAATAAAGTTTTTAATAAGAATAAGATCAAAGTGGTGAACAGGGAGACTGAAAGTCTAGCTGACAAAAAGGAATTTGAGTAAATAAGTTAAGAATTGTAGAAAGGGAGATAAGAAAGTAAAGAGACTAAAGACCTCGTAATTTAAAATAAACATAATCAGAGTTTTAAGAGCTGAGATGACTATTCTTTGGCAAAAATCAAATTAAAAAAATTCTCAAACCCCATAACCAACCATATCCCTCCTAATTTCCTTTTAAAACCCTTATCCTTCCCCAAAACCATCCAAAAATCCCTCGAAACCCCCAAAACCCCTCTCTCTCTTCCAACAACCCCAGTCTCTCCCCCACACCTCTCCCCTAACCCATCCTTCTGCCCTCCAAAATCCCTAAGCCAAAAGTCCACCATCCCTCCTCCAGGATGGCTGTCAGCCTTCCCGAAGAAGCCAGGGCTTCTTCTCCAGAAGCCGTTGGTCTTCTCTGCACGTACCTGGCTTCGAGTGGCTATGGAACATCTTTATTATTTCAAAAATTTCCAAAGGAAATGGGGTTTTGGGGTTTTGGGGTTTTGGGGTTTTGGGGTTTTGGGG